TGTTATCTCCATCAAGAAATTTGTAAAATTAGCATTTTCATGGCCTTCATGATTCAAGCGCATATTCAAATCTAAAGTCATGATATATATATGCTTCCGTAGAACAGAGTGTCTTAATGATGCATTCACAATTTGCTCACGAATTCCTTTGGGTATAACTGGTAAGATTTGTCGAAAGTCTCCACCAAGAACAACCGTAATATCCCCAAATGGCTTTACACTATCACGAATATCCCTCAATGTACGATCAACCGGCTCCACACAATGTCTATGTTGCATAGAAACTTTATCCTAAATTATGAGTTTTGTTTCTCTAAACAACTCAGCTTGTAATGATTGTTTGGTAAACCCACAAAGTGAATTTTCCAAGACATCTAACGGAATGGAAAATATTAAATGTGCAGTGCGACCTACTACCAATAACAATGATGCAATTCCAGATGAAGCCACAGTAACAACGATATGCCTAAGGCTGTGACATTTTAATGCAATCGTATTGTACATAAATGTTTTCCCTGTTCTAGCACCCCCATTAAGAAAGAAAACAGTTCCTTTATTTTGAAAAATTGAAGAAGTGATTGAGTTATAAGCATTCTGTTGTCCATTGTTGAGACAATCAATAGTAATTTGTGGATCTACCTGTTGTGCCTCATTCTGCAGTTGTTGATGTTCGAATATCAATTGATTACCAACTACTGTACTCCAATTTGCAGTAGGTTGTGGCATGGGTGGGAAGTCAATTAAACATTTTCCTGATTCATGAAGCATTTGATTCAAAAGATGGAGACCATAATCTTCAATTTGAGCCTCAGTTGGGTTAGAAATGGAAAACAATGTACGAATCTTATGTGCAAGATCATCACATATATGCGTTGAGAATTGATTCCATAATGCACATGGATTTAGTAGAGAGCACTGGGTGAGAATAATATTAAACAATCTCCTCAATTGGTATCCAGTTTTCATAACTGCAGCCTCTTTCAAGCATTGTATCCATTCTTCATCATCTTCTAAAAGCTCCCTTGGAATACATGTTAATTTAAATGTATCATGCACAACATTATCGACCGTGCGTAAAGACCGAAACGACTTTGGTCCTTTGACAACAATTAGTAACAAATACAGATAAAATCTTTCACCACAATTAGGACTGGCAAAGTACATTCTACCAATTGAATATCCCCTTTCTCTTGATTTCCATCTTTTTTCTGACTTGAGCCATACAAAATGCAGTGGAAATTCTTGATAAGTGAATGGACATTCATCTTCACTAGCAGCACAATATGCAAAGAAGCCAGTAAGAGTTGACATTTGTTGACCAGCTCTAGATTGAATCGTTTGTAATGACTCTTCTGGGTTAAAAAAAACGCGATGCATTCCAGGTAAATGAAATGCCAATCGTACAACTGTTGGCATCTCTGCATGCAAAGGATGACCAAATATTCGCCAAGCAGCTTCTGGAGGTCCAATATACCTTGCATCGAGATATTGTTGAATCTCATTTATCATTCCTAACACCATCGTTGTACGATCATAACCCTTGTAAATGTACTTATGTATATACTTGACACATCTCATTCCGGCACAACTATCCAATTTATATGACAGTTGAAAAGTTTAGAAAGAATATGCATTGTAATGGTACGACATCGCTGTTATCAAACTTCTTGCCCCTCACAGTATGTACTTGACTGTTATTGCGACGACGATAGATAGGGTATCCATTTTAATCTGCTTGTTGTTTCTGTGGAAGCTCGAGGTATTTCTTACTGCATCTACCATTTCCATACCATGGTGCATGCGGATTCAAGCACCACATGGTCCACGTACCATACAATATTTACAGTTTCAAAAAGCATAGGATTTATCTTTTGGGTTTTGGAAATTCTGCACAGACCAATTTTGTTACTTGACCACATGTCCGAATTTTGTCTGGACCCTTAAGAAATAAAAGTGCATGCATATGGGGAGGCCTCAATTTTGAAATTCCAATTGTAAAAACATGTGCCACTTTATTTCCAAATACTTTATTTGTTTCTATCTCCTTCATTAAACATTTTCTCTTCAACTAAAAACACGGGCAATTAAATCAGGCACATCAATAGGTTTTTGAATGTGACAATAATGCTGAAGTAATTTTCTGGCACATTAGGATTTGCAGCTCATGGTAAAAAAAAATATCTGGTGTGTTGGTTGTATCGCATGATAGCCATTGAATCTTGAAAGATTTCAAACATATGTGTAGGACTACTAGTAAATGAAGATGGCAAAACAAACCTTTGACTAATTTGACTAGGTTACCACATAATCTGGATCAATATCTGACAACTCTTGGTAAAGCTCAACCCGAAGTTTCCCTTGATTAAGCTTGTAGTATGTCAATCGATTTTGCTCAGTTGTGGCCCAAGCATCTACCAAAAACTCTTGAAATAGTTTCCCACCTCTCAAAATAGTTGAATACTCTGTGGGTCGTTCAAACAAATGATAACTATATAAATCCATTTGAGTAAGTCGATCAGTTGAAGGTCGATCATATTAAACGTTCCACAATTTCAACTCAAGTTCCTATCCAAGCTCACCATATGGAAATAATAGAACATAATGTAATGGCCAGTATGCTGGGTGACATTCATTAATTTGCATCAACTTATTATTTCCTTGGAAATGTAAGATAATATCTCTCATTCCACTTACCTCTGTTCCATCACCTGGTATTACAATTGCAATCTCATCTGTAATTGGTAAGTTATACCAACGTCGATCAGTTGTTGAATTGTAATGAAGATGAGCAGGTAGATTGTGTCCTGCCTCGTCTAATTGATGTAAAATGGCATGAGCCTGGCGAAATGTAGCTACAAATGCATTGACTTGCAACAAACTATCATGAATAGTTTTGAGCACATCCCTTCTCAAGTTAGGATTTCTACGATTGCGAATTTCTAACACTGAATCAGGGTCACAGATATACAGTTGAGCATAACTCGCATCCTGCCCTGGTTGTGGTTGTAGTGATCCTGTTTGATGTCGTAATTCCCCATGAATTGTGAATGATATAGGACCCCTTCCATTGAGTACTCTAGGATCCAATGTAGCACCAAGACTCGTAAAAGCATTGGCTGCATTGTACAATCGAGTATAACTTTGAAAGGATTTTGATTGATCATTATTCCCATCATACAATGCTTGAAGTGATGGAGGGGGTGTAATAAGTAAAGGTAGCCTAATCTTCCCTTCCAAACAGCAAGTTCTGAATAAAGGATGCTTTATAGATGATTTGGTCAATTTTTCATCCATCCAATGTAAGGCTGAACAATAAGGACATAATACGTTCATCTTGCCAAGATAATGGTTGCAAGAATCGTTGTGTGTTCGGGCATCAATTGATGTAATCATAGGCATATCTTCTAATTCGTCATTAGTACATAGATCTTCTTGAAGAAATTGATTTATAGGAGTAGACCTACGAATATTTGTGTATAAATAAAATTCTATAAAACAAAATGGTAAGAGTATGCATTTCAAGATTAGAAATAGTAGTTTACCGATTCCTTTGTAGAGGTAAAGATGTGCTTGGCATAGAAAACAAACATGTAGAATGATGGGCAAACATTGTTCATTTTTGTGCCGAATAAGAATCTTCAGTTATTGTTTCCCATTCCAGAAAAGCGCGATTGCGACGATTTGGTGCTAAAGAAGGTTGTATTAGTTGAATACATTCTTCTGATCCCTCTTGTTCTCGTTGCGAGCATTGAAAGTATGACTTTTCATTTTTTTTCATGCTTTCGTCGTGCACGTTGGGCCAATGCAGCTTTTGATATTACATTATCATTTTGTGCCTAAAATGAAAATATTTTGTCATTGGTGCAAAATATGTGAATATTTTGTACTTAACATGAAATATCTTCTTGTTTATTTTGTTTCTCTTAATTTTGTTTTATATTTTATTTGTTTTATACCTTTAATAGTGTTATCTGTATTTATTTCTTTCTTTATGCATTTTGTTTTTTTATCAAAAAATAAAATAAAATAAAGAAGAAATAAAAATCTATCTTATTTAGTTTATTCTTTCATTAGATAGTTTGTCTTTATTTCGTCGTTTCTTTTTTCCTATTCTTTTCATGTGGTACATTATAAATGCACATGTATCTATGCCAAATAAAAATAAATAAATTTGGAAAACACATATAAATAATAGCAAATTACAGGAAAATATATTACAATCATTCTACAAAAACAACATAAGGCAACAAATTCACATAGTTTTGCTTCATATTTTTTAAAAGGAATATATACCACTTGACATGCATTTGTTATTCTCTTGTCAAAAGGAGCCACATTTTCTTTTCCCTTAGACATTGAGTTGACCTTTTCTTTTTCTTTTACCTAACAAATATAAATAAAATATTTAAAAGATTTAAAAAAATCTTCCATAAATAAAAATACATACAATGTTTTACTTGATTTTGTACTTACCGCACTGTAGACACCCCATTTTTGACCGTCCTCAAGACTTGGACGTCACCATTGGAACACTTGGTGATCACCCTTGTTTGTGTTCGTCTTGAGTTCCCGGAGGTCTTGGTTGCGCGCCTTGCCTCAGGATCTCTCGTTTCGACTGTTTTGTGCTTGGTTTGACACCAAACACTTGTGTTTTGCCCTTGAGAGGCAGGGTAGGGCTTGTAGACCATCCCCACCCATTACCGGCCGTGGCTTGAGGCCATCGGCTGTGTTTTGTGGCCACCGGCCAAATATTTGGCCGGCCGGCACTATAGATGGCCGGTCGGCTATCTTTTTTTGGTCAACAACATCTTTGGCCGGCCGACTACTGTGCATCTACTTTTGCAGATATTTTGACACAGCTGTCTTGCATTTGGCTCCCCTCCATACACGTGTATGGAGGGATCTCTGTCTTTAGAAGCTTGTCTTGTAAGCTTTACAAGACAAAAAGCTCTAGAAGAGAGGTCTTCTCTCTTATTGTGAGGGAGAGATTTTTAGACAGCCATTTTAGGGTTTGAGTTCTAGGGTTAGGGTTTCATACATATCCTATCTCTATATCTCTCTCTTGTGTGTGTATAAGTGTGTTTGTGTCTTACTATTGCACACAAACACATAGTGTTACACCTTTTCTTGGTTCTTGAAGGACCAGAGGTCTATTCTTGGAGTTTTGGGGCTGGTTTAAGCTCAAGGAAACAGCTGGTCCACCATTTGTGAAGAAGGTCTTCAAGGGTAAGAAGTTTGTCCCTTTATTCCCCATTTTTGCATTGTATTTTTGCCTACCTTGCAATTGTTTTTGTGTTTAGTATAAAACATAAAAAATTTCTATTTTTAGGCCCTATAAATAGTTTGTTTAGAGTGTTTTGTGGTTTGAGGTTGTTTGACCCCTCTTAAGCCTTGTAAGGCTCCATTTTGTGCCATTTTGTGTAAGCTCCGAGACCTTGGTGTTTGGGCCTCCTCATCATTGAAATCTTGAGGGATTTTAGAGGTGAGGATGGTGCCTTAAGGTCCTAAGAAGGAGAGGGTCACCCCCTCTCTTTGTTGTCCTTGAAAAGGACCATTTTTAGCCTCTTGAGGGAGCACCTAGCTTAGGCTCATGTTGACCATGCCTTAGTTGTTTTTTGTGCTTATTATGTCATAATATGCCTCTATTTTTAGTTGGTTTTGGTACACCATGCATGCTTAGCATACCTACCTTGTAATGCCATGTTTAGGCCTTAACATGCCTTAGGTTGTAAACCATTGTTCAAGCATGTTTTAGGTCTAGCTTTGTGAAGTTTTTGTGCCTATTTTGCCATGTTAGAGGTCTGTCCTTAGTCATTTTGGTCGGCCATGACATGTTTAGTATAGCCCCTTTGCATTTTGGCTTGTTGGCCTTAAGTATATGAGGGTATAGCATGCGTTACTTGCTTTATTTCAGTGGTTTGGCACCATTTGTAGCATCATTTCAGTCCCTTTAGCACGCTTGTATGCTTGCCTTGGATGCCTCTTTGATGCCTTATGAGCTTGTGTTGTATGCTCCTTAAAAGTGCATTTGTGCATGCTTTTGAATTCAAGCCATTTAGATGCCATCTAAGTGGTCTTTTTGGCTTTGTTTTATGTACTAAAACTCTATTTTTGGTCATTAAATTCATGCCATGTTTGATCTTGCTAAGTGTGGTCAAATACCCCTTTTAGCTTGCCTTGAATCTTGGACCATTGTTACATGCTTAGCCTATCTTGTTCGCTTGGTTTGGCACCATGTTCTTGCATGATTTTCAAGGCTTAATTTGCATGCTATATGCCCATGTTTGCATCCTCTTAAGTGTTCTTGAGAATTGCTCTTTAATGTTTGAAGTGTTGGAGATCATTTGCATGCATGTTTGCGTGCCATTAGTCCTTCATTTTGGGCACTTTGGCCACTGTTTTGGACCTAACTTAGAGCTGTTCAATTAGTGTAAGTCCATCCCCTGCATGCCATTCAAGTGTTGTTACATTATTCCATATTTGCATGCTTTGGTTGCATGTGTTGCATGCTTGAAATCACT